AGGAACGGGGTTGGGATCGGGGGGATGGGATCGGGGAGTGAGGAAGGAGTTGGGGAGGGAGGTCGGGGTTGGGATCGGCGCAGGGCGGGGGTGGGATTGGTAGCGGGAACGGGAGCGGGAGTGGGGTCGCGACGAGAAGAAGAAGAAGAAGAAGAAGAAGAAGAAGAAGAAGAAGATAAGAAGAAGAAAAGAACGAAGGAAAAAAGAAGAAGATAATTGGAAGAAGAAGAAAAGAATAAAATAAAAAAAAGAAAATTGTCGTCGATTTCTTATCTGCGCCGGTGGAACAGCGACGGTGACGATGAGGATGACGTGGCACAACAACGAGGACGACAAGCACGGCGACAACGATCGCGACAATGACGATGATGACGTGGCACAACGATGATGTTCTCGACGATGATGGCGTGGCTCGGGGACGACGATTTCGATGATGACGATGATGACGTGGCACGGCGACGAAGCAGGGTGGGTCGGGCGGGTTCGAACCGCTCCGATACCAGTGTGACGGGCGTGAGGCTGAGGGTGAGCCGAGGGAGAGGAGAGAGAGAGGGAGAGAGTGAGAGCACACACACACACTCACTCACTCGACACGACTGACTCGGACTGAGGGTCGGATGCAGACACAGTGGCAAGGCACAAAGTCGAAGTCTTGGATTCCGAATGTCGAAACAGCAAGTCACACTGAGTACAAGTACAGCAGCGGAAAACTGGTACGAGACTGGTTCCCGTACCGTACGGGGAGCCGGTATAAGTACCGGTGACACGTACGGTACAAGGGGCATTTCTGCAAAAGCCCCGAGGGCAGAACTGAAAAATGCGGCATTTGAAAGTGGCGCCTGAATTGCAGCATGGCGCCAGTTATCCAAAATCCGACGGTACCAAAGGAGGGGTTTGGAAAAAGGGTGCCAAGCCAAAAACGGGATGCAGCAGAAACAGCAAAAAGTAGACCAGGGATCGAGCCCTGGCGGAGTCCGTAACAACAGGCATTTTTAACGTTTTGTCCCAACCCCTGATGAGAACAAAAAAAAAACAGACAAAACCAACCTCTGACCTCGGCATTATACACACACACAAAACTCTGAAACGGCAACCCTAGCAAAGAACTGCCCAGCCCGGACAAAACATTCCCACAAACCTAGGGCCTCGCCACACTACTCCTGACTTGGAGGAAAAATTTGGGAGTACTCCCGAAAGTGCAAAGACGCGAAAATCCATTCGGGAGTGCGCTTCGCCACATTGCACTCCCGACTTGGGGTGCTCTCCGATTTGGAGACCAGCAGGCGCACTTTAGACAGAGACTGTCCAGCACTGTCCAGCATGTGGCGACGAAAACTGTGAGGAGAATGCTTGTCTGCGCACGAGTTCTCAGGTCGAAACACAGGCCTCCGGGTGAGGTCTCCCGAAAATGGCCTTTTACAGGCGGGGGTCGTGTGGTGATTTTGGGAGTGCTCTCGGGAGCCACATTCCGACAGCTCCCGAATTCAATCTGACAGGTTGAACTCGGGAGCTGGTGTGGCGACGCTGCACTCTCGAAAATGGCCAAGTCGAGAGTAGTGTGGCGAGGCTCCTATAACGTACAGCTCCACCATAGCCACACTTGTAGACGAATTCGCCACCAGGCCAAGCTCCCAATGCACGTGCGCCGTTCCACAACTTGGCAGAAGCAAACAAGTAGGCTCCTGCAGCACGCTTCACCGAGCATAGCTCCCACTACGAGCACCTACTCCAAACTACCCCTGGCTGCAGCTACCACCGGATCACGCTTCCATCCCAACCCTGCCACAAACACCATGACTCCTAGCTTCGATCCCCGCTCCCCACAGCCTCTTCCCCCTGTCGCTACCCCACTCCCATCGCTCCCCCCACATCACTCCCAATCCCTTCACACCCCTCACACACAGTGCCAACTTTCCTACTTGACTATCTTGCAGCTCAATGGGGATCCTCAGAACTCGGTACAATCCAGTTCGATCCCACTCACTGAGCTCGTCCTCCACTTAAGCCCTCCCGCTTATTCTTGCACTCACCTCCAACCTCCTCGTTCTCTTCCTCCTGTCCTCCCTCCACCTTCCTCTCTCAACTCTCTACAGCGGTGCGTTTGTGCGGATCTCTACCCGTCGTAGCCTGTTGAGGGTGAAAGGCAGTGCCTTCGACCTGCATACACCATAGCCTGTGCAACTCGCACCGTGCTGGCAGGCAGGATTCTCTGCGATCGGCAGCTTGTGTCCTACATTGGTGGACTGTCTCTACGATCACCAGCAACATCATCAATGAGTTGAAGGATGGCACAAGTCAGGGACAGCATCCCCAACGGCGACATCATGGACCACATGGTAAGTCCAGCCCATCAGCGCAACTTCCCCGTGCCTCCAATGAACTTCCACCTCTGATCCTTCACCTGGGAGCCAGAGGTATATCACCCTCTGATGAGCCGTGACCGGCACAAGTGGCAAAAAGTGCTTTGGGGATGCGCCACCCCTCCTCCATTCGCCACAATGCCAACGTGTGATGGCCCTGCCATCATTGCTCCCTCCTCCTCTTCTACTTCTCACTCCCCTCACTCGACCACCTCATCTACTTCCTCTCCTTTTTGCAGCGATGGGTATACCATGCCCATGAGATGGTGATGCGATCGTACAACGAGGCGAGCATGTCGGATGATGGGACGAGGTAAGGGTTCCTGTGTTTTGGGTTGCTACGATAGCGTTATGCTTGTCAACACACACACACGCACACACGCACTGTTACATGCCCAGTTGGGCGATGTACATATATAACCGAGGATCCGCAATGTGATAAAAAGGACTGAATGGACAATGCAGTGCAAGTAGAATCTCAACAAGCAGTGTGCATTCCGATACATACAAGAATGGTGCTTTATAGCGCAGTGGAAGACTTAGATACAAGTCCTGACCTGACCGGGACTAACCCCGCTTCACGTAGTACAAGATAGCGCAGCAGAATGCTGGAATACCACTGACGAACCCAATCAATGTTGCAATGCAGACTAAACATACATCATCTTCATCACAAGGTGTGAAGGGAGCCTGGCGCTATACACAGGAAGAATGTGCCAGGTCCAGATCATGCACAGACGAAGAAGAGGAGGGGGGAGATGGGAAAGTCGTCGACACCAAGTCTTCGTTACAAGTCCCAAATAATCCCTCGTCAAAATGTCTGAAG